GTATGATCTGGGCAGACTGGTGCCCATGCAGTCGCTTCTGCAGCCGCGGCGTGGTCAACATTGTGTTGTCAGCTTCGCGCAGCGGTATGTTTGCGAATAGTAGTGGAAGAAATAGTAGTGAATGTGCATGGGGTTAGGGTACGGCGCGTCGGGAGGGCCTTATTTTAAAAGCGGCGTCTTCTTCAGTGCCACCGTTCGTTCGCTTGTTTATCGTGTCGATTGTAGTGGTCGCGACGCTGTTCGTGGTGACGGTGAAGACGGCGCTTGTGGTGGCGGGGGCGGCTTGGATGAATGGATGAACGGGAAAAGGAGCGCAGAACTATACGGAACGGGGTATAGCAGGGGAAAAAGGTTGGGTGGCCGAGAAAAAAGGAGGAGGGATCCGAGCCAGAAAAGGAAGAGGAGGAGGGTAAGGCGTCGGGTGGTTTTTTGCCCGCCACGACCCCAAGCAGATTTCGACGGCCGAAAACGGGGGGTGTGTAAGGCACGAGATCCGACGGCGCGACAGCAGCACCGGCAGCAGCATCAGGCGGCGAACCGAATCGGTCCTGCTGGCCATGTCAAAAGCGGGGGCAGGGCCCTCTGAAAGAGGGAGGGATAACTGCTACCAATGGTGGAAATAGGAGGTTAGTCAGACAGTGTATGGGGTTCTGGTAACGGTAATGGTGGTGGTGGTGGTGGTGGTAGTGGTGGGATGAAGGCGGCGGCAGGAACAGCAGCAGCACGGGGTCCTCTATGCCTTTGTCTCCCGAGCATGGGTCCTGCAGCTCCCGCTAACGTCATTGCCAATGGCTGTTGTTGGTTGCTGTGCCGATGCTACTGGCTGTAGCGGTTTACTGTTCCTGCTAGCGGGCTCTCTCATAGCCTGACTTTCTTGGCGTCTGCATTCTCGCCGCCATCCACCCAATGGATTTGGTCTGAGTGTAAGCATAGCCTCAGTCCTCAACACTACTTCGACAGTGCTTCTGGCTCCTCGCGGCTCCTGCCGCGGCCGCTGTGTAGAGAGTAGGGAGAGCACTTCCCCTCAAGTAGACTCGTCTCTCTCCCTTACTGCTGCTGCTGCCGCCGCTGCCGCTGTGCTATCCGACGAGGGTCTAGACCCCTTCATGAGGCGTGCGAAACCTTCTCCCCGACGGCCTCCCAGCCTCCCACCGGTGCGTTCAGTCGGCTGCCTGGCAGCTCCGCTGGCAGAGCGCACGCCGCAGCACCGACCGACCGACCAAGCGAACAACCGATCTCCCTACCATAGCTACTACCACAACTACTGCCGCCTGTTGTTATACTTTTGCCAAGCAACAGCAATAGGTGAGGGGCAGCAGCACACCAACACTGCACAGTGGCTGATTGGGGTAGGCCAGTGCAACCCAGGCGATCCTGACTAAGGCGGAGCCGCTTCTTGCCCTTGACGCCGCCACTGCCGAGACGGTAAAGGTGAAGAGGAAAAGAAAAAAGAAGGGTGAAAGGCTTGAGGGATTGAAGTGGTATTGGTGACGGACCAGCAGTAAAAGAAGCAGAAGTTGCCTCTGCAAGAGTATAGGGCACTATCAGTTGCAATAGTAGTTGGCACGCAAGGAACAGCAAAGAAAGCGAATCTCGGAGAGGGACAGAGAAACGACTAGAAAAACATACGGCAAACTGCGTGCGGCCAAAGGAACACTACGAGGATCAAAAGGAAGAATATCTAGATCAAGAAAGATCAACGAAGTCTACAACAAGAAGCGCCCTACACAGGGGTGCTAGAGTGTGCAGCAACTGAAAACAGAAAAGGCGGCGCGACATCAGCAACAATCATAATACCTGCGGAAACACTCACAATACAGCAAGAGCTCAACGACGATCACAGCGACATTCAAAGTGACAATAATAAAAACGTGGTCCGTAGGAACGACTGCGACACCCAGACCAACAGGACAATCATCCAAGACGCCAGTCGTAATAGGGACAACAACGTCAATGTCATGATCAAATTAACACCGCGCACAACATCAGAAAACAACGAAACGCGCCAGAAAATCGTTGTTCTGGTTAGCGGCGACGTTTCCCAAAGTTTTATTTTAATGTTTTGTTGTTGACTTTGTATGTTGTCCTCGTTGTCGTTATCGCCTTCGTCGTTATCACTCTTGTCATACTTGTCGTTTACAAACATCGCAACAAAGGAGGCCATCTACTGTTTCTCCCGGTTGTTGTTGTTGTCGTTGTCGCCACTGCTCCACCTGTCCATCCACTTGGACCGCCGGTGCCGGCGTCACATCAGCGATATCTGGGACCATTCTGATTACCAGTACTTGTATTACTACTTCAACAATAACCTCGCCGTTTCTTATTACTACTGGCATCGACGTCGTCTTTACGCTCTGGGATTTCGTTGTCCTTGCCGTCGCCGGGAGCAGTGTTCAAAGCGGCTACAACGACAACAACAAAAGTAAAAACGGCCAAAAGACCGACTGCATCTAGTGCATTTGCCCAGTTACTACTAATGCAAGTGCCACTATCATCAGTACGACCTCAACAGCAACTCCAAAACCGTCAACTTCTTTCGGCAGCAGCAACAGCAAACGCCGATTTTTGACGGCAGTCACCGTAGTCCTGTCGATCAAAGATCACAATGGTCACGAGGCTGGGTTGGTCGCCTTCGTCGTCGATTCCATGAAAGCCTACAGTCGGTCTGGCGGTGCCAAAGTGGCAGTGATTCGTATCGTCGCAGTTCGTATCATCGAGTACCATTAATTCTATTTGCTCGTCCCTTTTTTGCCGTCCGAGTAGCCGTGTCTCCGTGCGGATCTGGGTGTTATTTCCATCACTGTCGTGTATTATCTTATTCTCGTCGCCATCGTTGTGCACTACTGTCAATATTGGGGGCGTCGTTATCGCCCTTGTCGGCGTATTCATCGCCGTTTTCATTGTCGCTCATAATCGCCATTGTCTTAAACGCTGCTGTGTGTGTGGACATCCCCAGGGAAGATGTAGTCAGACTGTTAATGAGTGCTATCGTGTGTGCCACCGTAATGTGAAGGTGTCACCACCGTCGCTATTTGTCGCCGTGGGAACTACTATAACTATTACCAGACAGCAACATCTATTAGGTCGCGTCGAACGCGAGAGAGAAAACGCGTGCGGAAACGAGTGAGGCTACACGAGCCAAAACAGAGAGAGAGAGAGAGAGAGAGAGAGAGAGAACGTGTGAGAAAGAGGGGTGAAAAGTAGTGATAGAAAAGAGCAGAGCACACGGTGGAAGCAAGCGGGTGCTGCTCGTGTTGCTACATGGAATACCGAACTGACCGAGTTTGACTTCCGTGTAATAGAACGTTAGCGCAAGGTCACTCGGATAGAGAGGTGAACCAAGGTTTTGGCATCGGACAAACGCTTTTGCTGGTGCATGCAGAGAGTGAAAAAAAGAAACAAGTGATAACGCAAACACGACAGAAATAGCAGCAGGGCAGAACGAGCAGCCTGGAGGAGTGTGCGAGTCGGCTTAATGTCGACTTGTTGGCCAGTTCCGAGTGGCTGGTGATTGCTAGCGAAGCTACCTAGTGTCAATCAACTCACCCAGCCAGCCAGCCAGCCAGCCAGCCAGCCAGCCTCAGAAGAACGCTGTGATCCAATTCGCCGGCATCCAGCTAATGCTGTAGTGATGATATGATGGCGACCAGTTACTCGGGCCCCCGCTAGACCGACGAGGTCGAGGCGGCAGAGACCATGAAGCAGCCTATGAAGGACTAACCTAACGCAGAACACGGTTAAACAACAAGCAATGAACAAAAGCAGGTGAGGCTCGACTCACGAAAGGGCAGAGCGGGAAGAAACCAGCAAAAAATAACAAACAAATAAAAAAGAGAAGGAAAACTAAGCTGCAGGCCAACGCAACCTCTATCGAAGGCCAGATGGGACAGAGTCACCCGATCATTCGTGATTGCTGAACGGGCTATCTAGCAATAAAATAAATAGTGCCAGTATATTAGGGAGGGAAAGAAAAAAATACATCTCTAAAAGGCATACACGCTAATATAAACAAAAAAAATAAATAAATAATAACAAGAAAAAGAAAAAAACGAAATAGGACGCCAACGACGCTAACAAAGGCCAAGAGAGAGGGGAGAGAATAAAGCTAGAAGGAACTCTATTACGTAAACTCTAATATGCTGTTCATAATCAAACTAGTAATACCATCGGTGCTACAGCCGTCATAGCAGACGTCACTACCCCACTATATAGCGAACATTGCTTGTAGAGCAATCAATCTACTATGACGCCACCTGTATCTGCCGATCTCTCGGAATAAACGTATGTCGTATTTTGTCCGATTGATACGATTGAAAACGACGAATATCTAGGGTAGCTGTGGCGTCCGCGAGTATCAGCCTGCTGCCGAGCGCGAACGAAACAAGCGAAGACAGAAACAGACAGAACATATATAGAAAAACTAAAAAAGGCAAGAAGCTGCAGCTGTATAGTGAGTAAGAGTTAAAAAAAAAAAAAAAAAAAAAAACAGGACAGTCAGCTGCACGGCAGAATAGAAAGCTGGCAGCGAAGAAGCAACGAAAAGAGTACCGTTTAAAAACTCTACATCAGGAGTTATACAAAAGGTTCGTACAAGCCGAAACCGCATCGCTAGACAGAAAATCAAGTTTAGCATTGACATAACGGGCTAATTGTATGCAGCATACGCAAGACGCGTCTGCATGTGTGACTGAGGGTGTATGGGTGTGTGTATTACGTAAAGTGTCTTTGCATCATGTGCTTGTGAATGACTGTATTTGGTACGCGTCGACAGTGAGAATCGTTTCAAGTAATAGCAACAGAGAAAACGAGGCTGATCGAGAGACAAAAGCAAAATTAGCGCCAGCCCAGGGTAAAAACTTCGTCACCAACGCCAAATCGCTACGCGACGGAACACGGATTACTCCAATTAATAGATTTAGTGTTTGCCCTAGGCTTTAACCCCCCGCCCCGCCCCGCCCCGCCCCGCCCCGCCCCCACCCCCTCCCCCCGTCCCCAAGTTTAAACCCCTCAACGTCTCGTCATTGAGTCTGCTAAGAAATAAGCCGCCACGTTGCTGGTCAGTCGGTAGTCGCTCTAAAGGATCGAATTGGCCAAGCGATTAGTAAGCAAACATCGTACATATTTAAACATACTGTTTGCTTGCTTACACGTATGAACTTTACAATTGTTGATCGTTTGGTGATAACAGTAGAAATATTAATCGTTAAACTAGCTGTTGGAATTATTATTCGCAGCGCATCCGACTCTACTTCCCCCGTCGAGTTTCTTTAGATAGGTGCGCAAACCCCGCCTCAAATCTTCCCCCTGGTCCGCCAGATTCCCTTAGTCTCGAACAGAGGTGGCCATTGTCCTCATCATTTCCCTGTTGAGTGCGTGCCTGGCCTGTATGACATTCCTTTTTTTCTAACAATAATAATACCTACAATATTTGTTACGATAAGATTATTAATAACAGCGACAACATCAGCAATAGCAACAAAAAGGAAGTCATTGCCAGTGCGGGCTTAGGCAGTGAGCGTTTCACAAATAAAAAATCGTCGTTCGCGAGTTCTTAAAACACCTCATCGTACAGGCTAGCGTCCGACTGAAGTCTTTGCAACGAGTTGTTTACTGCCAAAAAGCGAAATCGCTCAGCCTCTCTGCTCAAAAGACGTACGCGCCAAAACCTCGAACGATCTCACGCCAGCAGCAAAAGTCGCAGATGCCTTAGCAACATGAAGGTCACCTGAGCTCTCCCGTAAAACTGACAAAAACGACAAACCACTACGACAATAGCAACAGCAGCGGCAGCGGCGACAAAAGGGCAAATTGTAGTGGCAGCATTGTGTGGATCAATCGTGTGAATCAATTGTGTATTGCCGATCACCGGCGCCAAGGGAAGGCCGTGGTGGACCTTGGTCGTTACTATTAGCTGGGACGAGTGATTAAATCAGTTCGGCACAATGTCGATGAGCGTGAGGCGAGTGCGAAGCTCCTTCCGGGGTTCGCTCCGCAAGTACACTAGCGGGGAATCGATGAGGAAACCTCGACGCCACTTTCAATGGATATATCGTGATAACGAATGGCGCATCGCTTACGGTAAGTACTGTAACATTATGTAGACCATCGAAGATGTAGCTTGTATATTGCTCTTGTTACCTGCATAGCCTGATAGGTTATGTTTTCACTCATATCCCGTGGACCGTGATTAGCGAGGCTACTACTTACGAGCCGACGAAGGATTACTGATTAAATTGCCTATCGGCACAAAACATTTACGTAAGATTATGCTTGGACGAACCATAGCAATCGTTGTAGCCGCAAAAGAATGGGCAATTTTCTAAGGAGGTGTTACGTTGAACGATAGTTAATCTATAGCGCTACGAAGAATTTAATCGCCAAGTAGATACCAGACGCGAGATCAATAGGTAGAGGTTGAAGCTGCTTTGAGCATGAGTCATCGGTTCTCATGTTTTTCGTTTTACCTGACCTGAAATTATTCCGAAACACATTTCACTAATAGCAGACGCGTTTGGTCAGCAGTTCCTCGTTAGCTCAACTTGGTCGACGCGCGTACAACTATATATATGATTAATCTTGGACAGCATCCGTGTGCTACATGTAGTGAAGACCTTGCTTGCCAATAGGACATCTAGGCAGCCATTAATCCTTCTTACCGCGCGAAAAGGAGCACGAGCATAAAGGATGGCTAAATGCAGGCGTGCAAAGCAAGTCGATGAGCTACAACAAATTGGCGAACGTATGTACACACGATATAGAACCGCTGATTCCGCGAACATGGCGTTTGTTACTATACATGTGTATAGAGACCTATTCAAGCTGGCCAAGACTGGCCGGAAACACTTCTTCACGCCACGTAAGCGGAGTGTACTAGTCGAAATAGTGATCCGAAAGTATGTGTTCTTATGCCTATAGAAAAAAACACTGCTTCGAATGATGGAGGATAATCTTCAGAAGGCTGCGTTTCAACTAATAACTTGCCAATAATTTTATAGGCGGATTCTGATTGATCCTTCTTGATTCATAAATATAAGTATAAAAGTTAAAACCTCCCTTCAAAACGGTAGTTATCACCGTAAGCCAATGTACGCCTATCTTTACATACTCTTCTTAAAGTTTTTTGTTATTTTATTCGCAGTATCACATCGAGCTAACGCGAGACATATAACCGGACTTGCATATTCTCAGAGATATATCAACTAGGGCCCGTTTGTTATAAACCAGACTACATGTCAAAATCAAACTAGGGGAGGAAGCGCAGCAAGGGCGTAAACAATGTGGAAATGCGGATTCAAAATTTGGATGTACAAGCTGTTACAAGGGCCCACTAAGCCAAATACTGCAACGAGGATGAATTTCAGCGAACAGCGCGCCTGCTAGAACATGCCTGTTTGAGTTCATTAATGCGGATGCATGTTACGTTACATGAGCTTCACCCAGACAGCAAAACGTAACTCAGATTGCAACATTGTACTTCGGATTATCACATATCTCTCTCTACTTCTACGATATGACTTGTAAATGTACCTTCGGTTGGCAGTAATAAGCTTAGCAATAGCTGATCCCAGTACGAATTTGTGTATAGTCGTGCACGGGTACTTGTAACATCAATTCTAAGTGCCAACGGTAAACTGCATGTGGCTATATGAACTTTATCGGGTAAATACTTTCGGCTCAGTTACCTGAAAAAACTTCCTCCGATCCTGAACATAAAGGAGACGCATTTCCAGGTAGGATGCCTGGCCCTGTGGCCGATGATGTTTATCATAATTAAAGCTATTGCACATCTGAGCAACCGAAAAGGAAACTGAATTTGGTTCCGCAAGCAAATACAAATACTTCCTTTGACAACAACTTTTCTAGTGCGCTACGAATGCCGCGCCTATGGCTGTTCCCACATGATACGTAGCATTCAAAGGGGAGCTTAATAATGTGTATATTTGGTGTACGTTGGGTGAGCAAAGACCTATTAACAGCTTCAGTCACAAAAATTAAAGTAAATATATTTCCTATTTCATTTCTATTTCCAAACTCTGTACCATTTTGATCAATGACCTTCGACCATTTATCTAAAAACACCGTAATCCCACCGCTAGAAAGAGAACTTCTGTGATAAAAAAAAACATTGTCACAAGAGATTTTGCATTTTTGAAACTAATTTAACATAAATAATTCTGGAATTATACGGGAACCGAAACGTACGATAGTTCAATGATGCAAGATCCTGGGCTTTACGATAAATGTATTCGGATTTCCATTCAGATGCGTTCGTTTTTATCGGGCAGTTTTATCGGTGCAGACATTGCGTGCACAGAAAGAGGCAATACCTTTACTAGTTCCAGCAATTTGCTATGATTTTGTTAATCTTTGTCAGCAGAGGTCTCAACGAATTGTTTTACGCAACGCGTTTCCAATCTTACCAAAACCATAGTACTTCTTCATCTGGTGTCGGTTTAAGTATTGCCTCAGATTGTCAAACACATGTTTTATTTCCGCATCATTTTTATAGGAGATTTATTAATTCATAATCGATAGCTTCAGATATCGTTTGATTTTCCTGCGTTTTCGTTGGGTCTCGCAGATTGGAATACGATAGGGTAAATTATCGAACTATATGAGTGGTACCAAAATTTTTCTCTAGCCAACTTTCTATAAATAACTTGCGATTGGGGTGGTGGTCGAGCTCTAGTCCCGTGGCAATAGGGATGACTATACTCACGTACTACGCAATAACTTCATTAACTTTTTTTCCGTAACTGGTCGACGACTACTGAAAATACTTTTTACATCGAAATTTCTAATGCGAAAGCTGCTACAGAGCCGTCTTTGGGCTGTTTCTTCTGATAATGCGTCCTGACAACAAACAACGCAACACACGTTTCATGGGCTTCGTTAGCTATTGTGCCTTTATCGTAATAAATCGGTAGCCCAATACGTGTATGAATACGAAATGTGTTACGACGTGCTATCAAAGCTATCCAAGGAAGTAAGTAATTTCATCTTCGTTCTTTTTAGTTCGAAGTTAGCCTCTTCGTTTGTTTTCCTTTTGGCTCAGCTACATACGTTGAGACGTAAGTTGCTCTGTTAACATTTAGTGGCAAGCGGCTGTGGCACCGGAAATAATGGCGACATCCGTCGAAGCCTTTTACCCCTACAGATGGCTCGACTGTTACAAGTTCCCGTAAACATTGTCCGATAAAGATGGCTAGGTGTTTTGTTCATTGATTCGGTGTGTCATTTGTTTTTTTTTCGACGGCGATTGGCGAAATGGCGGAAGAAGGGTTATTCGAGGTGGATGTGGAGGGCACGGTGTTTAACATAACGTAGAATAAGATAGGTCATATTCACTTTACTTTGACCCCTGATCACAGTAATACTGTGACAAAAAAAAACAAATCATCCCTGCCAAAAAAGGCGTCTTGTAAGAACACGGGCACCGATTGGTTAATTACTAGGACATAAACATACAAGTCGGCTATATTGTTCATGACCGGCACGTTGAGCTGGCGCATGTAGTGACTGTAATGAGAGGAGATGTTGCGGTAACGAAGGGCGCACATGAGGAAAATGTTTTCGAAGACTCTTTTTCTAAGTGAGTGCGATAATCTGTCTGCCGTCTATATTCAGAGGACCTCAAATTTGGGACTAGCCAATAGCACTTTCGTTTGCCTTTGTATGGTGTTTAGTACAATAAACTGCCAGTCAACACTGTATTTTAGGTCTAATATATTTTCTTTAACATATTATCCAATTCAGACTCCTGACCGAAACGCCTGTTAATGGCACCAAGTAGGATTTCGTATTTCATCATCTTAATAGTAACAGCACAAAAGCAGAATAGGGAAAACTATTAGTGGAATGCTACTCGGAGAAAAAATAGAGGCCAACAATATCTATCTACCTGAATCGAGCAGAGCGGCAGATCATGGCTAGCCCGAAAGGTTGGATAGAAATCAACTAGGAATCGTCCTATAGGAATGATCGAAGGAGATAGAAGACCTAGTGATGGCATCCTAGTAGATGCGCAAGGCGGTACAACCGAAAGGGTTCGCACCAGCACGCGGTGACAGGAAGTAGCGTTCAGATAAGTGCAAATAAAAGAGGATGACGTGAAGTCGAACAGGGGGAATGGGGGGGGGGGTACGGAGCCAGAAACAAGAATGGAACAACAAAAGAGCATTAGTGAAGAGATATCAATCGACATTCTACAAGTCGGAATGTGCTGATTGTACAGCCCAGCAACATCGAAGCGACAGCGGCGAGGCCAGCGACAGGGGTACAAGCCGGAAGCGTTATTGCCGCTAGGACTGCAGAAATTGTCCTGCTGCCCTACTTGACTCAGGCCACTATTTGAAGGAAACAACTGCTACCTATTGACCACTTGTCAGGAGCTAACTCATGGCGAAATACCTTCTTTTCCCTTTAGCCGTGTGATTTTGTAAACAGCAGCAGGGTCAACGGCGACAGCCAAGTAGGTGGCCTGGCTGGTTGGATGCCTTCCGGCTATTGTTATGGCATAAGGATGTTAGGAGCGGTATAACTGTGCGCTTCTTTGTCCTACTCTTCATGCACCATTTTCTGCTTTCCTGCATCGAATCGGATCCTGACTTGATACAAGTCAGGATCTTCATGGTTCGCGTAGTTGATCAAGTTCTATTTATTCACGTGGATTGCTAGTAGTAATCCAAAACTTTATAAATACAAATCAATGGCAAAATGACAGTATCGGAAAGGGTATACAGGACCCTTTTAAGCAATTTGCGTCATACGAGCCTTGTGGATTGCATAAAACTAATTCGAGAAATTTGCGAGGTATCCTGGAGATGGTATTAGGGGACCGCGAACGGCATAATATTTATCATAATTTTAGCATTTGGGCACCTATATGCGTCGTTAGACTTATGGAAACCCGGTTTCCGGCAGAGTCTATGGTGAAACCCATCCACGGCAAAGCGAGTAACGACATGTCTGTTTGCGTCAAGGAATAGAATACCGGTGCCGTTTTTAACCGACGCGTGGGAAAGGAAGACCTCAAGACAATGCCATAGTCTTCAACAACACTTCGTAGTATGGAAACG